TTTCCCTCTCGGTGAATATCACAAGGCTGGGATTGAAGGAGGGGCTGAGTGCGCTCCCATCAGCTCTTATTGCTGACTTGCGTTTTAACTTCTGCCAAAGCCTGCTGCTGAATATCACTGCTGCATAATGGGAGAGGCTGCTCGGCCTTCCCAGACTGTTAACTGTAGACAAAAGGTAGTGTATTTAAAAAAAAAATTACAAAAGTCATATTTTTTTTAAAAAAAAAAAGTCATAGTTGCTTAGATATAAACCAAAACCACTACAGGAATAATATCATTTGGTTATCTTTAAGTTTGTTTTCGTGGAGTCGCACGCAGCCAAGTTCATGTCTGAGATTAGAACTGTAACTTTTATGCCCTTGTAGATTTTCATTGTGTTTTTAATGTCTGTTTCCCATACACGAGTTGCTGTGCATACAGAACAGCAAACAGGGCAAAGGAGGAGTGAAAATGTCTTCTGCAGAAGAGCTTTGAGCTGCTGAGTTTGCAAGTGTGCTAGACGTATTCAACAACTGACCATTGTGTATTGAAAACTAGGTAGGGGAAATAATGCTTGTAGCCAGGTCTGCATGTTGAATGCATGCTTTTAAGAATTGCAAGTAATTTGACATATATTGTATCCTCTCTGTTGGCTGTGTGGTTGTGAGAAGGCATCTGGCACCGTAGAGGACCGCTTGGGACCTTGTCTGTAGTGTGGCCTGGTCAGGAAAATGCTTCCGTTGCTATTGCCATGCTTGGAATAAATGAATGGTGGGCGAGGACTTCGCCTTCGTTTGTAAAACTCACAAACTGTGCTGCCCGCCAAGAGGTGAAGTGGCCTCTTGTGTGCGGCAGACACGGGGAAGAAGCACACTCCAAACAGCCAAGTCAGTTGGTTTACTTGTGCATCTCTTCTCCTAACAGTCGTCACTGATGCGTACGTCTTTGGTTTACTTCCGAGTTTAGAAAAAGTCTTTTAAAAGCCTTTTTGTGTAATGGCTATCTGATCTGGCGTTTCAGGAAGATCTTTGAAGAGCAAATACAGTCAGAGGCATGCGAGCGGGATCTGCGGTTCCTTCCCACCCACGCCTCCACGTCTCCCCACATCATTTTATGTTTCTTCTTAGAAAGACACGTACAGATTTAGAGACTGGGTGTCCTTTGAAATTCTGTTACTCTTGCCTTGATGTGATTGTATTACAACTAAACCAACCAACAAGCACTAAAAAAAAACCCCAAAGCACCCTAGAACAAAGCGACCAAAAATATTTCAGGATGTGAGCTAGCAACGGCTTTGTGCTGTTGGATGCGTTTGATGGATGCCAAAGATCGTTTGGAGAGCACTTTTCTGAGGTGCACTGTGTAGAACTGTTTAGTTTACACTGGATTTGCTTTATAAAATAGATTTCTGTTTCAGAAAGGACACAGCTCGTGCCTGCTGCAGTACATCCACGTGTATTCATTTTTTCAGATGGCAGAGTATTGGGTTGCTGCAGTAGAAGTCCAAGCTGCTTGGATGTACTCTCGTTCCTACAATCTGTTGTTACGTCTGTGTGCATAAATTCTCACTGTTTCAAACCCGTGTGCGCTGTCGAACGGTGAATTTGTTTTGAATGTGTTTTCGCAGCTGACCTGATGTACTCATGGGTTTGAACGAGGCACACCAGGGTAATGTCTGAGTGTCAGAAACTGCTCTGCGTTGTCCGTTTGCCCAAAGAAAGTGGGAGTAAATGCTATTTCTTAATAATTATTTTTTTTTTCGGGGGGTGGGGAAATTAGGAAAATGCTTTTTCATCGGCAAATTCCAAATTTGTCCTTACACAGCGGTCGCAGTCAAAACTTGAGGTGGGGGGAAGAGTTTAAGCACGTTCTTGTTACTTACTTAAAGTAATTTCTGAAACTCGTTTGCAGGCCAATGTTTTTACCCACAGGTTTAAAATTTGGAAAACTTTTTGTATCTGAGATTTGCAGCAATTATGAATTTGTTTATTTTATTCTTTTTTGAAACATGGAGTCTTTATTAATAATGAAGATGCCCTCATTGTGGATTAGCAGCTTATGTTTGCCAATCAATATTGTGTATATATTGTGTATATATGCCATTTACCTCTATGCATCCTAATGGGCAGTACATTAGATCACAGAAATCACAGGAACTAGTTCTTGTTAACGTTTCTGCAGATGAATTTCCATTTTATAGTAATTACAGGTTAGGATAGTTTGAATCTCATATGCATATCTCTCTATGTAAACCTAATTTACAGCTCAAGATTAAAATGGAAGGCTTAATAATAGTGCAGTGATTCTTTAACAGTTCTACCTAAAATTAGCCCTTCTTATCTAGATTTGGACAGTAATTGCTTGGAATCAGAAACACTGACTTCACACTAACAAATCTTAAATTAAAATTACAAAGTGGTTGCCTGCAGTAGCAAAATACTGGATATCATGTCCTAAAGGAGTTGTTTTAGTTGTGTGTTTCTAAAGGCGGCTACTGAGAGGGTCGTCAGAAGCTGGAACAGGCTGCCCAGGGAGGTGGTGGAGTCACCATCCCTGGATGTGTTTAAAGAGCGGGTAGATGAGGTACTTAAGGATATGGTTTAGGGGGTAGACAGGAGCGGTTGGACGTGATGATCTCAGAGGGCTTTTCCAACTGAGCCATTCTGTGATTCTGTGTAAAGTTACAGCTTGAAACTCCACTATGTATATTTTTCCTTATTATGTTCATACTTGAGCGAGATAATGCAAGCCGTAAGAATGAAATCACTGAACTTTAATATTACACTTACGAGTTTCAATCTTTCAGCTTTCCTTGGCGATCTTGGTAAGATCCTTGATTTTGAGAACTGGGTGAAACCCCTGCAAGCATCCTGCAATACTGGAAGCACACCAAAACAGCATAGTGTGCCAGTGTCTCCATCGGGGAGGTATGGGTAGAAGGAAGAAGAAAAGTTTACTAGCGAAAAATTAAGTTACGCCGTTCTAGAGATGCTTCACTTCAATTAGTTGAAAGGTACCACTAAGGACACCAAAGATTCTGTTGCCTGCTGATTTTTGACCTATAGCCTCTGTGCTGTTACATTTCATCCCAGAAAACTGCAGTTTTAATACACAAGAGTGCATGAAAATGAGTTTGGTCTTAAGGTTTGTTTCTTCTGATCTTCTTAGATCTCTGGTGGAAGAGGAGGATCCTCATATGAAAGTCTCTCTTGGTAGCAGCGATATGGGCGTCTCTGCCCACCTACAGTCCTCTAAGACAGGGACCACAAGATTTTTCACCAGCAATACTCACAGTTCTGTGGTATTACAGGTAATTAAATGTTCTTGTGTCAGTATTGATCGGGGTTGGGAATTCTGACTGCTCTAAACACTGTCTCCATTCACTAGACTTTATCAGACTAGTAATTCCTAAAAAGCTTCCCAAAAATGCATGTTAGTGTGCTGTGCTGGCTGTGCCCACAAGCAAGCATGGCTTGTAACTTCTTTTCCTGCGAGTTAAAGGTTTGGCTTTTAGCAACAGCTCAGAAAAAACCCTGGCCTTTTCCTTGGGTTGTATCCCTGTCCACTCAATTTCTCAAAGGTGGTACCATTTAAACCTTGAAGTGACAGCTGTGTCGAAGACGCTCACTTGAATACAGTAATGTAATTGTTAGGCAGACACTTGTACCATCATCACCTGTGGGGATGTGACTGAGGAGAGCCCCGTGCTGCTCCTTCGCATCCTTGAGATGGCCAAGCCCTGCTGGGTTTTGTGTAGCACCTCGGGGTGCCTCTGCCTCCATGGCACTACCATGTGATAGAATGGATAAAAATGCTATCTAATGGATAAAAACATTATCCTCTCTGAAACTAGGAATTTAAAGCTAAATTAATTTGATCATCTTGTTTCTGCTGGAGCTTCTACACACCACACAGGGTCAAGTTTGCAGCTTGCCATTGGTTTAGTTTCTAAGGTGTGCGCATCTGTAAATTTAGGAAGAAGCCAAATCGTTCTAAATATTTTTTATGTCTGTTTAGCCTTTATGGGTGGTGTAATCTTGAGCCTGTTTCTTTGGTGTGTTTGGAGTTGTCCCCTTGCCGTAGGTTTTCTAGCTCAGGCTAAAGTTGGAAAGAATTCCCTTGGGGGCCCATGGA